ACTGAGCAAATATGGAGTGAGAACATTAGGCGATAAAACATATGGAGATAATACAAAAGGGCCGCCGAGAATAGGCGACAATATGTACGGCGACAGAACATATGGACTGATGATGAAAGGAATGAAAATGGCTGGATCAAGAATAAATGGCCCAAGTACGGAAGGATTCAGAATTAGCGGACTGAAGATATTTGGCGAAAGAACCACTGGACCCAGGATACTGAGACCGAATATTGGCGAAAACATGTATGGTGCGAGGATAACCGGCGCCAGCACTGATATCTGGCGTTTCGTCCGATTCCGGTCCTGCAATTGGCATATTTTTGGAAACACTGAAATTTGTGCAAAATCTAAAGATGGAAAGATACGAAACAGCAATAGCAGCCGAAAAAAGTTTCCATTTTTTCATGAAATTGGAGACTTTTTTCGGCTATCACACGTTGGTTTTTTTTTTTTAAAAAAAACGGTATTTTACTAGGAAAGCGGCGATATTTGCACAACTGTCATTGATGTACGAAATAAGGGATAGGCAAAAAATGTTACGCTCATCGGGAACTCAACTGAAAAAACTATTCTGTCTTTGAAAAATTTGCTGACAAGTGAAAAAAAAAACAAGGGAAAATCCGATTATGAGCTGTAGACATACGCGGAAGCTACATTCGAAATTCTTTTGTCGCACCTAGGCAAAAAAAAAAACACTGTCTTGAAATTTCAGGTATATCCTATCGTTTCTAAGCTAGAAAATTTCTCAAACTTCGCTTGCAACTGCTTCGGGCATACGCGCGCATGAACGCAGAAGTTCCGAAACCGCACTTGGGACAGGAAATAAACTTTCAAAATTTCAACCTCTTTCTTATTCGGTTCTCGAAACGGAAAATTTCCCGCATGAAATTTCATGTTCTCGCATTTGGGTAATAGGCGTGGTAGAAATTAGATTTATGGGGGCGAATAAGGGAACAAAGGATCTTTCGAAAGCTTCAGTTTTTTATTTTGTCTAGATTCCGAGTTAGAAAATCTTTCGCCAAGTTGGAAAATCTTCCACCTCGCTGTACACAGAAGCTGACTTTGAATTCCCAGGGCTAACTTCTAAAATTTAGCTTTTTAGTTTATCAGGGTGCTGAGTTGAAAATCTTGAAGGAAAATCCGAACAGACACAGAGACGCAGGCATATTTTCGACAGTAACATCGCTATTGCAGAGCAAAATTCATACAAATCATTTGTATCATCTCGCATTTACCATCAACACTCTCACTCCTGTATTTCTATTATGTTAATAAAATAAGAAAATAAATCACAAACTTCAGATCGGCTATGAGCTATTCGCTCAACGTTTTTCCAAAGCGCATCTAGCCGATGATGTCTATCCAGTTTTTCGTATTCATCCACATCAAAATTGACTTCTCTGGGTTCCTTGACTCCTTCAAAAAATGTTTTCAGTAAATTTCGGGTGGGAAATAAACGCAGCGATTGCTGACAAGCAGCCTTCACACACACTTAACTTGGCCATTTGAGGCTTACCCAAACAAATAGTTTTGCAAATGCGAAATTTTTAAAGAATTACAGGCGACAAACTGCTAGTGCAAAATCCAGTTTGCTTATCAAAACTAGTGACCTATTGATATTTTTTTCTGTGTCAAAAAAAACAGTACAATAGTACTTAAAAAAATAGAAATGTTAAGCCGAACTGAACTGAATAACCATTCCCTTTGC